GAGTGTATAGGGGTGCCGAGCAGGTCATGTTTTCCAGGCCCCCTTTTCAATCGGGCAAGATCAAAAGGCTGCTATTCCAAAGGGGTTAAGACATGATCCTGGATCTTATGTGTGGGGCCACAGCCATGAAAGCTGGCAGAGTTCGTGTCATACATATCAGGGCTACAGTAGCAAAACAACATGATTTCTATCTCTTAAGAAGGGAGTTCAAGTCAACGCCTCACATGACGCTTTATCACTGATGTCGAGTGTCACCGGCCTCACTCTGCCTTGGACAAAGAGGTGACGGATCGTTGGAGCCTTGCAGCCACCGCCATCCGTATCGAGGTTGAAAGAAAGGACCTTTGTTGCTGAACAATGGGGATGTACAAAGGGAAGGGTCAGGATGGGGGGATTTCTCACAAAGGCCAAGGGTGCCTGACTGTTCTTCCTCCCACGAGCCGTCAGACGCGATGTGATTGCGAGAATAATCTCATGATGTTGAGGTGAGATTCTGCATTCTTTTTGAAAGGCGCTGGCCTCTATCGGCTGATAAATGGTGCCAAAATACTTTTCCAGAATAAAAACGTCTTCTATTCAAAAGGCGTCTTGATACAGCGTGCTGTCTACTCAGAATCGCCTCCAAATGAGCTGAGGAGAATGTTGAGACCATAGCTAGCCATGAGTCTTGACTGTGCTGAGTCTCTCGCTGTCGGTGCGTAAGGCGAGTCAAATAAAGCGCTCCAGCACCCACAGACGGGTCGTGATATCCGAAGTCTCACTCTTTATTCCTTTGACCTGCTTGTCCCCGCACCTCGCAACCATACCTCTAGGTCTTCGTTGGTTTTACGGGTCGGTTGCGTTGCATCTACCAATTCTAGCACGCAGATAGTTCCAGGGCAACACGATATGTTCACCCAGCCCATATCCCTCTAGCAACGGAGGGTATCCTAAACGAGTTGTTCGAGGCGACAACACTTCAGGGGAGGGCGACCGAACATGCGATGAAAGAATGACAATATTGACCTGGACGTAGTAACAACTGAGGCGGATATCTGCACGACTACAAACAAGGGGGCTGCCTGACTGTGATAAGTCCCCGTACGAACATCGTCTGAATGTCCGTTGCTTGAACGCGAATAAATGTCACCCGACCAAACGTCTAACGAGCCTTCATTGAGTGAGCGAACTTTGGGCGCAAACTCTTGAGCGTATTGCATGAAACTGATATCTCCAAAACAAACAATTGAATATACCCAGCACGCGATTTGATATACTTGTCATAGCAAGTAACTTGGGGGCAGCAACTCGTCTCTCACGCCCGTGCCTCCATGTCATCGCCCACACCAGGGAGCTAAGAGGTCTATCATTGACTTCACGCCCTGCTTTCTGATAGCAAGTGACGCCTCGGGCGAATACTAATTATAAACGACGCAATAAATCGAAACCTCTTGACGATAGTCACTCGATTTCACCTTCTGTCATCGTCGCATTGGGGTATCATCAGGCTTTTCCTGCAAACCTCACCGATCGGGATTGTCTCCGCGTTTTCTTCAAACATGTCTGAGCCGAGTTGAGTCGATATATAAACCGAGATAGAGCCTGTCAATGCACTGGCAATAGCAGCTAACCTTGCCGCGAGATACCCGCTCGCCATTGACTCCAGCCAGGTTGATCTCTCGCCCACGGCCTCGAACATTTCGTTGTCTTCCACCTCGAATTTAGTCTCGCCAGTCGCTATGGTTCCTCTTGATCTTCCCATGCCTATTCGTGGTGTTTTACTTGCACGCCGACTTCTGGACTTTGCTGTGCTTCGTGTATTTTGATCCGGAGAGTCTAATACTGCATGATGAGCCAGATAGACTGACGGAAAGACCATTTCTGTAAATCGTTGGGAACCCGAGGAGAGGCGGGTGTTGGCTGGCGGCTCCTTGACATCAGAGCTACTGTAGAGATAGTGGTGACGCGAAATTGGCGAGGAGGGTGAGTATGTCGAGACATCTAATCTTCGTCAAGGTCATGTCAAGTGAGTACTTGAGCGTCCTTCGTTACCCTTGTTTAACTCATAGGTAGATTCCTTTTTGACATGACCTTGAAGCCCATTTGGTCCAGTGCAATCATCCCTCTGTACGCTTCCTCTCTCCTTGGTATGTCGTTATCCTACTATTCAAGTTGCAAACACTTGCCCAGCCTTCAGACCTCCAATGTGTTCTTGATTATAGCTGCAGCCCGACCCTTTATGAGTTGACTAAGCCAGAAGATCGTCCAGCCTTCAGACCTCGTTCATGGTATTCTGTCCGAGCTGGTGCTTACCAAGACTCTTCCAGGGTTATGACGGCCTTCTGACTCAGTTACCCCGTCGAAGGCTGGGGTTCAATCCAGCATTATCATGGTGAAGCATCCAAGTTTGCGCGGGCGAGACCCATGGAACTCATTGGAGAGACGTGTCTGTGTACTGATTTGGAGAGTGTTCTTCTTGTCGCCTGTTATCGACTGCCTGTGAGCCTGTATCCCCTGCCATACATGATGTAGCCATGCTGTTTGCCTAGCTCAGACACGGAAAGCCAGATTATCGAAAGAGGTGAGAGGAAATGGTGAGTTCGGGTGACACGTAGAGTGGCATTCTGAATTGAGTTTATCGACGGCAGCTAGGCATAAATCTACGGCAAGACCAGACACGTCATGAGGGGAGGGACGTTGACCCGTCTAGGGGCCTGGCACAGGGCCAATTGAAGACAAGACGAATTAATCACGTGGCCATGGGTGTACTGAGTATGGTATGGCCATGCCCTCACATCGGCCACCATCCTCGACGCGTGTCTGGTACCAGTAGAGACAGTTAGCAGGAGCTCGGTGACCAGGCTATTGGAGGGTCTGAATCGCAGTCAGCCATCGGCAAGCGACACAAGAGCTAGGCACGGGCCGGGCCATGACGATAATGACGACAGAGGGAGTGTGGGTGTAGTGTTGTTAGGTTAGCGAATAAGCACCAGGCAAGCATCAGCAAGGGGTCAATAATGAACAGTAGGAAAATCCGAAAGCAACAGGCGAAAGGTGTCATGAGCACTGGGCGATGAGCGATGGGCGAATCGCAGCAGGCGAAAGATTCCATGAGCAGCAGTCGAACCCCCCTATTTCCTAAGGATACTCAAGTATCAGAGCCCGACGTTTTGGAGTGTCCATTGCACTACTTACCGTCTATTGCTGCTTCTCGGCGTAGTATTCTACATCTTTTTTTATCATCGTGTGCAAGAGTCGTTGTATTTTCGACCATTATCAACCTCCTGCCCGTCCAGCAATAGGTGCCAGCCAGACATTGACAAGCTAAGTATGGCGCCATAAAGTCTCTCGCTGCGAGATTGACCTGATTAAGAGCGAATGGCACCGGATCTCTCTGAATGACAGGGGCATCATAGCCACATGCACGAGATATGCGACCAGAAGTCCGGTTCAGGTAGCTGATTTCCTTGTATCATTCTAGCCTCAACTTGCCTGGAATAAACAAACTACCAATCCAGTCAGGGTCAAGGTTTTCGACACTTGTTCCACCATCAGATCGCGAGCTGCTATCAACAGATCACGATCCTCCAACAGTAATAGAAACTGCAGTGCGCAGAAATTTTGACCAGCTGTCGATGTTCAGTTCTCCCCCAAGAACCTTCCAGATGAATCGGTCCATATCTTGCAGCCTACATTTCTCACCATTCGGCGCCCAAACAATGGTGTAGACCCTCATCGTGTTGTACTCTCTCTTCTCGATGAGTATCTTGTCCTCATTGCGTTCCACAAAGGTTCTAATCGAGGATCCTTGGAACCCTCCCCAAGGCCCCGCAGTAATGAAGTTCTTGTCTCCCAAGACCTCTTTAAAGTCGTCCGGCGGAAGCATGCGCTCGGGAGCCTTCTGCTCTAGCGCGGTATAAGCTCCATTTGGCGTCGGAAGCTGAACCTTGAGAAGGACATAGTTTGCTTTGATGGGAGTAATGTGAGCCAGCGCCTTGTTGATAGTGGCGGTGTTGGTGGTAATGCGAAAAATGATGGAGCCATCCTCACTCCATGAGCCGTAGTACACGAATGTGTCGTCCCTGAAGCCGCCATCGAGCAACCATAGCTGCTTGTATGGCGATTCTGAGTGAGAGTGTAGAAAGTCCCAGAAACCGCCCATTCTGAAAATCGCAAAAAGAGTTAGAGTAACCCGACTGCTAGAAATGGACGTGTCGTCTGTTGGGCTTCGGATGGTTTGGTGAATATAGTAGGATACAGGTTCGTAGAGTGGCAGAGTGGGTTAGGTTAAATAGACGAGGGAGAAGACGTTCAGCAGAAGCGTCTGCCTTTGCAATTGCTCTGACCATCTTCCAGCGTGACCACTTCAGAACAATGATGAGGCGGCCTGGCTGCCTTGCATGGCGGTTTTGCGCAGGTCAAACAACATGCACAATATAGTTAGGGGCTGAACGCCATCCATGCCTGATTGGACATGATCAGAAACGATGCAAGCCTCTCCGTTCGCACACGGAGTTTCCACCTTGTACAGAATACAGAAATAGCTTAGTTCAATACCTCAAGTCAAGCCATGGATTGTGGGTAACAAATTGGGTGGCGGTTACGCCTCCGAGCCACATTCTTAGCCACCGTGCCAAGTTTTTGATGTCGTGATCCTTAATGGTGTGGTCAGCAGCTGACTAACGTTGATCCCCAGATTTATCAGGTCATGCTAAACACCTTGGCATCGGTGGTATTAGGCTTTGGCCAGCGTGGACCCCCCAGCCTCGGTAAATACTGTACTGTGCAGGGCAGTGCCCCATAATGTGCCTTCGTCGCGTGCCTACGTTGTAACGAGATGTATCACGCAATGGCTGTTAAGTTGAACCTACTACGTAGTGACAATCACCTATCATGGGGTGGCGAAGATGATCTGATGGAGTCGTGTGACCATGAGCCGAGGTTTCCGAACCGGCTATAATAGGCTTTCATCTTGACCAACAACTTCCTGGTCTTGGCCGATAATTTTGCAACTAACCACTGCCAATATCATCTTTCAAGAATCTTTCAGGACAAAAATTCCATAATGTCCAACTACTCTGATCTTCTGTATCATACCACGCTGACCGTCATTGACTACCATGAGGACCCCTCCGGGGCCAAGCACTCGGCCTATGTCCTCGCAACACATGCTAGCATTGAGGCGGCCAAAACCTTTGCCCGAGACGCTCTACATCTCCTCAAGTATGAACCTGATGACTTTGAGGAGTACTCTGTCTACTCAAGCTCTCACGAGTGGAAGCATGGCGATGGGGTAGTTGTCTATGCTCGTGCACCCGCCGGGCAGGTCTTCCAAATTGGAGTCCGTACAACGCCGAACAATGAGTCTCTCCTGGCGAACCCCAACGGCACCGTCGTCCTTCCCAAGGGCGCAGACATCTTACATTACGTGGTGCAGACTACGGTCGACTACAACAAGGACCGAACTGGCTGCGCGCAAGAAGCCGACATCCAAGGGTCTTATGTCCTTCGTGCCGATGCTCTTGCTGCCGCTAAATCGTGCCTTGCGCAGGAAAACTTGGTTGAGTATGATTTGCGGGACGAGTTCAAAGACGAATGGCCATTTGGTGAGGATGTCGTTGTCCATGCTGTATCGGAGACTGGCCAGAACTACACTGTGGCTGTGACGACGATCCCAGGAGCACACAAGAGGCACAGCAAGAAGAACTAGCTAGTATTATTGTGACTAAAGACTGTTAATGATTTCAATCAGGGCTGGGGAATTGACGGAATGATATCAGGGGAAACGGAGGTTTGAGATTGCACATAATCGTGGATCTGTCTTACGATAGTCACTACTTTGGTAAAACACAGTGAGACTTCTTTTCTTTCATCATGTTATAATGCTATAATCGTATTATAATTAAAGCATCAAGGCAAAGCATTTTCGTAGTCAGCAGTGATCCAAGTACCAGGATTAAGGTGGAGATGGCCGATAAGACAGACGATCAATTTGTTTGACGGCTTGCTAAGTACTCTGTTTAGATAGCATGAGGCAGTGTGGTGAACATGTTAGATCATTCACTCCATGGTTGTTGGCGAGGTGGGTGGCCTAGCCAGGTTCATCAACGCCTCGCTGGTCTATATATAACCCTTATGACCTCGAAGAGAATGAACAAGGTGAGCTGCTGGTGGGAGCAATCGTAGACTCGAGAATAGGATCAGTTGTGGCCTAAATGTGAGCGAAAACGCCATGATAGTTCTCAATAGCCACCTTTAACACTGGAAAGCCGAGCAGAGTTTGGTATTTAGGGATGGCTAATCCACGTCTTACAGTCAAAAACTTCAGGGGGCAAAGCGAAGATATTGACGCAAATGCCTCGACCATGAGTTCACCCAAGACATTGATAATTGGAAGCAATATCAGACAGCGAACCAGGACATCCCCGATCAGCGAAGTGAAACAAGCCCAGATGAATATTGACAGTTGATACAAGTCCGCGATGAGATATAGTTCGTTACTCATCATGACGTTCCAATGTTCAAAAAGTTATATCGTCACGTCTCGGCTAGCGAAGCAACGGGCAATATGTAGGACATGTCACTAACTGGGTTGCCTTGATCTACCCTCTGGGTATGCTATGAGGTTAAATTACTTTTCAATGTCACTAACTGCACAAAACATGCAGCGTGGAGAATGTTCTGTATTCTGGCTCAGTTACCCCATCAACAGCCGCGTTTCACTTCAACTATAACCAAAAACACAATAATCATCAGGTTATATGTGACGATTGAAGCACCTCGACATGCAAACAGGAGTCCCAGCTCACGCACGTGGGGGGTTAAAGTAGGGTAGCATGACAGATGTAGCTCAATTTCATCCCTCGTCAAACAACAGCCTATGAGGCGATGAAGGCACATACAGATACAAAGAGCTCGAGTCTTTGCAGCCCCTGTAGGTACCCTACCACCCAGTTTATTACTCGTATATCTCCTCGGTTCCTGATGAGAGTCTAGGCTTGAGTGGTTCTGCCTTCCGCAATAACATGTGATGGATAAACTGCAGCTGTCATATCGAACGCAACCTTTCATCGAGTAATGACGATATCAAGGCCATATTAGTTTCCAGTTAATGCAAATAGCTACCATAAATCACAACCCGGCGGGCCTGTGTTCAAGGGCAACACATAATAAAATCACATGAATCCATAGAAAGAGCCTCCTGCATTCCGACTAGAATAACTTGCTGTCTACGAGACATTTGACCCGCGGTATGACATTGACATCTGCAATATAACACACCAAGTTCTCAAAAGAGTCGACAACTACCGAGTCACAAATCCCTTGACAAGTAGAAGGGGGCAATCTAGAAGCTCACCATGTGTTGAAATGTAAATTGTAAGCTCAGAGGGCAAAAAGGATGGTTCCGCCCGGGATCGAACCGGGGACCTTCTCGGTGTTAACGAGATGCCATAACCAACTAGACCACGGAACCTATTGGTTGATGACGTCAACTGATGCGTATGCCGCTCAAGTGTAGGCTGAGCTTGAGTGGAGGTGGGGTTTGGTGATAATTATGGAGGAGAGGACAAAGAGTGGTCACCTTGTTACGGTCTTATCTTTGCGTCTGGCCTTGAATATCGCTCATAGCAATATGCAGGATTGCCACCTGGTTATCCGCTCTAAATAGTCTTCCTCCAAAGCCCCGAGTTGAGATTCAAGTATCTTTCTGCTGTACTGGAGAGAGAGCCCCTGATGGGACGGAGGACGCGTTCGAGTTCCGAGTAGAGACCCGCATTCGGTCTGTGAGGAAACTAGATTTCAGTACCACTCCCTGGATGGGCAGCTCCCGTGGTCTTGGTCTTGGTCTGGTCTCATTGCCAGCAGACTTGGGGTTTTGCTTGAAGGAGATTATGTATCTGGCTTAGGATTAGCTAGAAAGTCTTCAGATCGAACCACCCCCCACCCGAGCCGGCGACTCTTCCGGTATAGTATCGATATACTGCGGCGTCCGCTTCAGTTGACTAGGGTTAGTAGTTGTTATCTCATTTAGGGTCGACTCTGGGAGGACTCTCCCCCGACCGTACGAGGAAGCGAAGAGACGCGTGAATCGTGAGATCCATATGCTCGTAGCTGAATTACACGGGTTCCACTACTCTCTGGAGCCCTACCGAGCTTCCAAGTCTCTTTCTGCTGTCTCCATGCGCTGCCACGATCAAAGCGACCCAGACGGATGGGATAGGCCCGTAACAGTTTCTGTCTTGTGCCAATCATTCCATAGCTGAGCCGTACTGAACATATTGCATGACAGTTTCACGACAATTTGAAGGGCTTGGAAGATCTTGAGTCACAAACTGGCCAGAAATAAGGAACGAGGAGAGATTCATCCACCACTGAGGGAATTGCATCCCTCTCCTCCATTGTCCTTAATTTCAGTGCGCGAGCAATTTACGACCACCAGTTCATTCTCCGTTGGTATAGCCATTAATAAGTTTCTGCTTTCAATATCTAACCTTTGCCGTTGAGGTCACTCACAAGGCCCACAGCGTGTAGGACATGAGACAAGCCACGACAGGGTCCACGTTGCTCCCATTAATAGGCGCACCATTGTGTCTGGATTGTGAATTGGTGAATAGACAAGGTGAGGAATGGGCTTTCTTGGGAACAGAGGTGGCAGAGCAGATGGGCTTACCCAACCCTATCATCCGTTACTCATGGGGCCCAGCAATCCGGAGTTTTCCCTGGATGAGTTACTTGCCATTGTCCATTGTCATACCCGTGGTTCAAATGATCTTAGATGAGTCTGTCAAGGGTGCGGGCTCTCCTTGAAAGAAGGAGGACCACTATCGCGAAAGATCAAGTCAGTGAGCATTCTACCCTCTGCTCCCCGCCGAACCGCACTCCACCACGACGTGTTGCACTTCGTCCTCTACACGATTTCATATCATTCAATTTCACTGCAGAGCTTGTTTGGCAACACAAGTTACTTTACGAAGCATCGATTTCTAGAATCCGATGCAAATAGTTCCTAGATAAGGGCCCTTGCTTGCTTGATAAAAGGGGTTCGTCGGCGAAAGCTCGACACTCGGGTATAACAACATCTACTCCAGGATCCAAACCTGGCCAAAGACATATTTCCTCCACCGGGTTGCGACACCGATCAGATTAAAATTCTGTTACCGATCAGCGCCATAGGCCACTTCAGTTAAAGCATCGCAATCGAGATGGGATTCAGTTTCAAGAGACTCGTTTCGCAACCAGCCTCGAATATCAAGGTAACATGGAATACATCCTATCATGACACTAGTATCAGGGTACAAAAGCATTCCCCGACAGGATCCGTAATCATCAAGGTGATGATTGGATGGTGCTGGCAGGTAGTAGGACATCTGCTGCAGAGGGAGCGAGTTGGGGACATTGCTAGACTATTAGTCTGGCGGTGGTGATACTCCCTTGAGTGAGGACATCGGAAAATGGCACAACGGTGGCTTCCATGTGGTCATTGGCTCTGGGTCTCAAGTCATGTCCATCCCTCACTTCCAAGTCTGGGAGGCTATGGCATCTCACTTGCTTACTACTTGTCCGGAATTCCTACTTTGGCGTCTCTGAACAGAAATTTGGACCCAGCTGCTATTCCCAAGCGGTAACTTGACTTGATGATTTCCGTGAATGGCTTTCCGGTGAAAGCCACTGATGAGCCATCATAAAATTAAACACTGTATCCCAAATTGAAGGGCGTTGACTTTGGCTCCTAGTCCAGTGGCAGCTTTGGCATGCATGGTATGTTTCCATCACCTAGATGCCTTGTTGCAGAGCATTCTTCATATGAGTCGTGGTCGCTTTCGTCTTCTTGGGGATGATGATTTTGTTCCCGGGGCCAAAGCAGCATTCTTCCATTCCACATCCGCGCCCTGCGAATGACGCCTGCGCCACTCCGCCATGCTTTTCTTCGGCAACTGTATTATTTTCTTCAAGTGAAATGGTTCTCTTAGATATAGCTACCCAGCTTTCTTTGTCAATCGTATCGATGTGGTTGGTTTTATAAACGGAAAAGTTATGAAGCTACTTTAATTTGACCGCATAATAAGCGTGACCCAAAGTAGCCTGCTAATAGATGCTGGATACTGGCCCTGATTGGTCCGGTCTACCCACACAAATTTTGGCACTCACCAGGAGGTTCCGGGTAGGGAACAAAAGGAACTCGACAATGCATATGCTTGGACAGTTCTCGCTCTAGACACCAAAAAAGGTCCTCTTTGACTGTAAAGAAAGGTTTCTCATACTTGAAATGAATGTAAGAAGCGATAACTACTACTTGGGACCTTTTATTTTTGTCACCAGCATTAACATCATTCAGGCGGAAGGCATGACAGCCACCAAGTCTGCATCTTTACCATGTCATTGAGCGCCTCGGGCTCCTCAGCCGCGCGGTTTTCTCCGATTCCATTGGCTCATTTTGTGGCGCGCGGTCTCCTTCACTCCTATTGGCTCGCTTTGTGGCGTTCCGAAGAGCCGCGCGGTGTTCTGATTCTTGATTGGCTCATTTTACGGCGGCGCTCGAAGCACCGCCTCAGGTTCTAGAAGACAAGCCAATAGAAATGAAGGAAACCATGCGCCACAAGGTGAGCCAATGAAATTAGAGAGAACCACGCGCCGAGCGGTTTTCTTCCAGTTAATTGGTCGCTGTTCTAGGCTGTCACGTGCTCTTGCAGATCCATTTCCCTCTCGCGGGATTGAGATGCTGCTATTCCAGGTAAGATCAGGCGTCATCTAATTCAGTGTACATAGTATTTCTTCTCAACCAGTCGAATACATGCATAATAGTATTGAATACCACACGGGTTCGAGATTAGAGGCGGATCAACACACGAGGATTGCCTACTTGGAGGACCGATATTGAGGCACACCCCGCGATACCGTCTTCAGTCATCGCATCGTCTCAGCTAATACTTCAATGTCCTTGGTACTGGTGGTCCTCATTGGCAATGGAATGGCTTGGATAATCCTTCCATCAACCTTGGAGTGATTGGTCAGGGTAGGCAACTGCCAAAGAACCGCGAGAGCCGGACTCATATTGATTGATGGGAAGTTGGCTCAAGAAGCGCTCAAGGAAGGCGTTTTCGTCAATAATGTCGTGATTCTACGCGAACACATGGATCACAAGTAGTCTGGTCTGGGTTGCCTTGGCGTAGCGTGATAAAGAGAGACTTCACACAAAGAGTCACTCGTGCCCGTGAGAGAATTGCTCTCGATATCGCTCATCTCGATCCCTAGGTTCCGACCTTGCTTATGACAGTGGCCTACCTGTAACGAGCATCGCTTTGTGTTCGCAGGCATCTCAAGACGTAACCTTCACCATAGTGGCAGCGTCCTCTTTCGCCCTTCAAGAGTGTAAAGAGTATCTACTGCGTGGCGACAATTATCAATAGAGCTGTACCGATACTTCGTCAGCTGCCTTTCAGAGTTCAGGACATTCATTCTTTTTGAACCGCACCCTACACTAGTATATTGACATCCTCACTGTAATGAACTGTACCGTTCCATGCCACGTGTTGCCTCCGGTTCCAGCTCTCCCTCAAGTAGCTCCATCACAGTCGCCGGCAGGCCATGGAAAGTTGTGATCGCCTTGAGAGTCCACTGTTCATCCTCTTCATAGGCTTGAACCTTAAGAGACCTCTTTCCTCCCTGTCCCAGCAGCAGCTTAATGACCTCCATCTTCCTGTTCGCCGCTGTCTCCCTTGCCGCCCAGCACAGCGCTGTCCAGCCCAGCCTGGAAGCCACGGATCCGCCTTGTCTTCATCCAGGAGCATGTTTCAATCATCAGGCCAACGGCAGGTTCCCCTACTTACAGCGCAAGGGTGAGACGTCGAGCAGGGTCGGGATATTAAGGTCTGCCTTCTTAGACAGGAGGTACTCTACAACGAGACTGTAGCTGCGGCTACTGCTGTCGCTGACAATTGGCACCATGTCGAGGAGTGGCGTGCGGCCTTTGTTGTCTTGGAGATTAACCTTAGTCCCGATGTTGACCAGTGCCTTGGCTGCTACCATGTCTAGCAAGGTAGTCGAAGTGAGGGAGTAGAGAGTCGTCTTGCCATCGCCATAGGCTATGTTGACGTCGGGATTGTACTGGAGGAGGACTGCCATGATTTTGGCCGTGGTGGCGTGGTGCAGCGACGAGCATCCGTGGCCCTTTGCCGTGCAGTCGACGTCGGCGCCAGCTTCCAGTAGGTTTCGTATGGTAGCGATATCTTCGCTCAGGGAGGCAATGTTGAGCGATGTGTGCCCATTATGAGTGACGTACACCCATGGTATTCGCTTGGCCCTGCCAGTCCGACCTAGGCTTTGAACTGGGCAAGGATAGGAAAAGCAACTGCTCGTCATTCTTGTGTCGCGAGGTGGATTGGAGCTAGGCTGTCCTCGCACTTCATTGTTACCTCTGGGTGCCGCCCAAGGACCTTTTACCTTGGTGTAGGCCAGGAAAGGCATAGCTGGAGAACATTCCACCCACGTCAGCCTACATGTCGATTGGCTCATGGCTGCAAGTTTCAACCAGGAGCTGCCTTGCTTCCGTTCTTATCTCCAACAATAGGCGAACAACCGCTTTACTGTCGTTGTTGACAGTGGCGGCGACGAGGTCCTCATTCATCATCTCCGGCGTGTGTTCTTCGTCTTTCATGCCCTTGATGAAACCCACCAAGCAAGAAGTTGTCTTGGCCCGGCCTCTGATGACAGGTCGCTTCAGGCAATCACCAATGTTGGTCGGGATCGACGTCGTCCTCTGAGCAGTGTCCAAAACGCCTCAGAGACCCCCAAGTGTCCCAGGAGGAAGGCCTGGGCGAAAGCGTTATTTGTGTCACAATATTTCCCCAAGCGTTGACCCCTTGCTGATCTAATGCCATGAGGACTAGCACACCACTTTGTGAGTTGACCGTCATTTCAAGGGCTATCCTGATGGCGTCATTGTCGGTGATGATGCTCGAGTCGACATAGGGCTCGCTGACAGTGTCCAGGGGACCTTGGACCTAAGATTCGAGGAATAGACTGTAGATGTCTACATACCTGTTCAAGCCTGCCCTAGGGAAGGGTGTCATGGAGAAGACAACGAATGCGGCTTTGAGGGGGCATTTCCGTGTGAGAAGTATTTAAATTGCCTCCTTTAGCTCTGCATATCCAGATACGCCAATGTGTATTGAGGGCGGCCATGCGTGACCGCTGGGAGCTGCGTTGATGAATTGAACGATTTTCTGGCTCAGTTAACCCATCGAAGGCTGGCCTTTGACTACAATAAAGAACACAGTGTTCCTGGTAGTACATGATGATGTACCGATGCGGGGCTGGGCGATCTTCGTACATGGACCAGAAATTGGGGTTAGATACCGGCTCGGGTTCCCAGTCAGACCCGTGGTTTTCCTCTTCAAATTGCCGAAAGCTCTCCAGCTGGAGGATTTCCAGCCAGACATGCAAGATGCAGTCATGAACTCGCTCCTCGACACTGAACCACTCATTACTCACCGTCAAGGAATAGCTTGCGGATAGCAGGGTGGTTACGCCTGGCCTTATTATTACTGACCGCGAGGAATCCCCAAAACAGGCTTCTAACCGGCGAGACAAGATGTAGGCTCTTCTCGCGGGCGGCCTCGCCCAGAAACACACGACGTTATCCCCAAGTGACAACCATGACTAGATCTTGAGCGTTGAGGCCGGAAGGCACGCAGCGCCTAGGTCATTTCCTACTGAGCTAGTGGTATATCTGACTCGGGGATCATATTGATAGGATTTCAGAAGAAGGACTGTGGCGTGGTGGGTTTGCACAGGGGAGGGATATGGCTTCTACTGCTCTAGTAACGAGTATGCGTTGAAGCTCATGCGGGTAGCTTCCGTGAAGAACTGGCGCCAGCTTTGCTGTTGGCGTGTAGCGGGTCCACGAAGGGAGTGAGAAGGTATATGGCGTGCCTCGAGGCGTCCAAACAGGCATCTGAATTGTGCAAGTCTGGCTTGGATTCGCTGAGTGTGGCTGCCATAAAGCTCCCTAAGCCACCAGAGCCCACACCCCCCGAATTCTCGAGCAGTATATGATTGTAATTTCTCTGTTATACGTTTCTTGAACTGGTCTAGATTCTTGAGCACATATAGGTTCTTCTTTCTCTCCAAGCAGGCAAAGAAGTCTACCGGATAGTAGAAAACATCAAAACCTAAATAGTGCCCGTGAGTCAAACCGCTTATCAAAGTTGCAGTTGGCTTCTCATACTTCATGTCTGGTGTCATCAGGATCTGGGAGTTGAAAGAATTCGCCATCGACAGGGCTGAGCTGCGGCGGCCGTCATGGCGGTCGAACGTAAAATTGAGAGCGATTCGTCACCCATCCATTTGTTTCTCCTCGAAAGCTTGACAGAAGCTTTGGGAAGCTTATCTTGGTCATGTCTGGGTGTGTCGGAGTCGTGACTGACTTGCCTGCAGCCGTGTATTGGCTGCGGCGTGTAATGATAAACCTGATGGCGACTATTAGTCGACACAAGAGGAGTCAAGTTGGATCGACGCACTCGCAGTATCCTTTATTGATGCCCCGGGTTGCTCATTGCCCTTCTTATTCATACATATTGTGATCTCTTAGTTCCTAGATTGGATGATATATCGGCTATTCTGCCCTCTGCAAACATTTCACATCTGCCTTGGGGCAATAGGGAGCCATGACGCCACTGATAGCTGTAGATGTCTAGAGTCGCTCAAAGGCAGATATTGCCGCATTGTCTGCTGGAGGACAGCTGGGAGAATATTGGCTTGGCGCCGAGTCAGGTGTGCTTTTGACCGGGTTTTGGTTGGCACCCGCCTGAGCCTCCGGGCTATTTGGATGGTTGAGCGCCGTAGGGCAGCGTGAACTTAAAGAGACTGGACAAGGCTATCCATCGGTCCGTTCTGGTAGATGTCTTTAAGTCCCGCTGGAAATGCCCCGCGGCGTCCCTTGTCTTCAGCAGGATGACACCCCCAAAAGGTTGGTAGATGCCCACTTGGGAGATGGGGTTCTTCAGCAGCGTTCACGGAGCACTGTCGGCCTCGCCGTCCTCTCTGAACACCACGAGTGTTGCGTTCGACGTCTAGTCGTCTTCGGACAAGGTATCGCGCACAATTTCGATAATTTTGCCTTGGTTTCGAACGGCCCCTTTGCGACAGTCACTTCCTGTCTTCCTTTGGTAATGGTCCTCTGCTATGTTGTGAATATGGAAGGAATTTTGGCTGTTTGGCGGCAGGAGCACGGTGTTGGCGGTAATAACAGCATCCATGTCTGTTTCCTCTTTGTCCTTTGTCGAGTTCTACAAGTCGTTGTCCAAGAACTGGAGCCGAGAAAAAGCATCAAGGATATTTTCCATTTTGCCAGGGAGATGAAGAGTGAGAACAGAGAGAGCCTGAGAAACTTAAGGAGCTAGATGAACTTGAGCAAAAGATATCCAGCAAAGGGAGGTAGGACATTACGGACGGGAAGTAGAGCAAACAGGCGAGCGGCACTAATGACACTGGCACCAAAGAGAAAGAAAAAGATGTGGAAAGGCTTGCCAAGGAGACCAAAGGGTTTAGAAAACTGTCCTGCACTTCGCACGAGTCAACAGTAGTGAGGCCCAATCCCGACGGCAAGACCCTTTCCCACGTTTTGGCCTTCGAAGACACTGTCGCCGGAAGAGTGTACCCCCTCATGAGTTGAGTGGATGAGATTGCTGGAAATAGGCTGGTTGACATGGACCGTAAGTAGCTAGCATCATTCCACATACCCATCCAGAAAGAGAACTGCGACACATGTTGGCCGCCCAGGATCAGTTCTAGAAGGGCGAAACGGGTCGAACAAATGGGGCTTGGACAATGTACTCAATATCCATGACACACACAACTATACCTTGGTTTATCTTGCTAAAGACTACATGCCACCTTGCTTGCTACACACTCTCAAACTTGCCCAGAAGTTGGTCCAAAACGCCAGCAAGACCTCCCAGCGAAAGGAACTCTTCAAGTCTAACTGGCCCCATCTGGCAGTCGAGAGGAAACGGTGCAGTCCCCAGCATGTTGACATTGCTATGTTGTTGATCGGGTGCTGCAAGAGGTCGTGACCCGTGGCGCCCGCAACGCTTGATCGGCGAAGACTTCTACGTAGGTTAATCCACTCATGCTTGTGTGGGATGTTTGGTCAGCGATAAGGTCGGCCGCGAAATCCGACGCCGAGAACAGGCATTTTCTCTCTCATGAAGCGTCACTTACCGTGTCGTGAGGTCTGATACTATGATTCCAACCAAACAATGCTGTCCCATCGACTCAACGCCATTGAGCGTCTGGCGTCCGCACCGCTCTCCTGGGCATACTTTCGTGTAATGCCCTCGGTGATGTGAGTCCTGTAGCTCACCGGATAGGATGGTTTCAATCGGGCGGGAGGAATATCTGCCGGGAGGGTCGTTGCTGGTATTAATGACGTCTCCAAGATGAGTTACCAGGAACAGAGATGACGACTTTCTGCCTCAGTTAACGCATCAAGGGCCGGGCTGCAACTACAATAAGGAGCACATTGTCAACACACCATAACATCATGACCGGATGCTAATACATTGGCTGGTACAAAGACCACAATGATCAAGTATAGTGGTCTAGAGAGCACAGAATAGAGGTAGTTCGATCGGCCGTGAGGGAATCTCTGCCGGGAGGAAAGCACAGAATAGAAGGATTTCGGTCAGGCGAGAGGGAATAGAAAGAGATGAGCGCCCTGCAATCAATTCCCCCGAGCCCGATCGAAATCAAGTTATTTCCTAATGTACCATGCCAGCCGGATAGGGCAGCTATTGCATCATGGCTGGTTGCAGTGGACATGGATGGACTCCAAGGAAATATCGCAGATTCCTAATTAGGCAGTGATGGTAGACTCTGGCATCCTCGGGGCCAAGAACTGAACGAACCATTATGATACAGTCATTCAAATAAGCATACGTAATTACTCAAAGAACAGCACTTGCTATAAACCGCGCCTCGCTTCCATGGCTTCAGCAACTATTGAGATACATTTTTGTCATCCTTTGGTCGCAACCACACGGCAAGAATCTAGGAAATCTTTTGAGGGGGATGCCAAAAGCCCCGAAAATGGGCAGCCAGGCTGTGAGTTGTTTGAGCTCATGGCTGTTTGTTTTGTCCACCTCCTATCTGCGTCCTGCAGGCGCCATAGACCCTGCTACAGCGGTCAGCGGCAAGAGCTTATTTATTGTCTCTTCTCAATGCTAGATATACCACTTTGTCACGGCCTACCTACCAAACGAGTATTTAGCGTGATCAAATGCCGAGTCAGTTATTCCAGCTATAGAAGTCTCCTTGTGCAAAACCCTGATTTGTGCATCATATGCGCTTGTGCAAAGAAATCTTGTCATACTCGTACACAGGTTTTTCACATTTAGCCCACTTGACTTGAGCTCGGATTTAGAGCCCTGGGGTCGAAACATAGGCGAGACTGGGATAGGTGATAGCTCAAACAAAACAACCATGATTATTTTGTAACTTACTCGGCCAGTCTAGTGTGCCGTCTATTATCTCAGGCACTTGATGCACGTGAATAAACGAGAGGTTCAAGACGGAGCAAGCCCGTATATGGCAGGTGGGGGAGTTGTCCATGCTCAGACGGTGATGCTGTCTCCCGTGAGGTTTGGTGAGGTAGGCGCGTAGAGAAGTTATTACACTTGACCATCCACTTGCGATTAAATGACGTGTCTAAATCTACTACTAGTTATTTACTGCTGTGCATTCAAATGACTCGAAATAAAAGGGAACATGGCCAGGGATTTGAGGGCCAAGCCTGGACTTGGTCTACTTGCGGCGCAGTAACCTAAGATGACTATTTGCGTGATGACACGCGATCCCACATGGATACCAAAAGTACCCATGGGCCAATGGTGTAGAGTTCCCTGGACCTGGGATCACTAAGTCTTCAAAAAGCCCGTGGTTGAGAGGATTGGACCTCGCGTGACATTGTCCCGATCGGGCGAGGGACCAAGGGACCAACCCCTTCCCTTCTCTTAATTCACCATGGTGCAAAAGCTCGCGTGTACCGTACTTCCATGCCAAGACTCGACCAACGCCTTACCTCATGTCCTCTCTTCATGCTCGTTGCACGATTGTTCGTAGCTTCACTTCAACGCTGAGTCTGAGAGCCTACAAGTTGACCCCAAAGGGCCAACTCGCGGTTACGATGCTCATGATCACCTGGTCATCTCCCATGAGGTTCCCTCGCCTATATCAAAGGTTTTTTGCTATAATGATGCAGCCGCCAATGACTACCGGCCTATCTCATGCCTTGTTTGCGGAAAAATACTTATTACTCAACGTTCACACTCGTATCAACATCCCAACTGGACCCGGGTTCCGGCGAATCATCAAGTCTTCTCTAGATTACTGCCTAATGTCACTGAAAGGATACACAGTGATGTTACTCATATGCCCGCCAAGGTAAATCCGCCGCAGGACTCCATAACACTCCATTGTCAGCCCATCTCACACGCTACTCGTGGTCCTCCTCCATCCTCTTCTCGATTATGTCTCTGGCTCTATCGAGAATCTCGGGGTAGGTGTCGCTACTGGTGGGCGACAGAGGGGAATCGTCAGGCTGTCTCATACCACCCTTCTGATGCTCCGACGTGCTAAGCTTTGTGGCTGAGTCGGCGCCGGTGAGGATTATAGGGCCATGGGATAGAGGCATCTTGGTTCATGGCGTAGGGTAAGGGGTGTTCATGGGGCTCAAGAATGAAGATGCAAGGGTAATATTGGGGAGAGATGGTTCAGAGACTGTTTGGTTCAAAGAGATGGAGAAGGGGGTGACGACTTGAGGACTAAGACTGAACCCCTAGTTAGCAAGACGCCCATCTCTCTTCAAACATGCCTAACCCCCCTCACTAAGACAGAGCCCCTACGTCCCGTTTGCCCACCCCTACATGCAGCATCCTCCCCGCGTGGCAAACTTACTCATGCCACGATCAAAAATATCTCCAGCCTGGCCACCCGAGACACTGCATTTTCAATGTTACACAATCTCATTCCTGTCAACACAACGGTATTACGCCAATTGCATTTGAAACGTCTTAGCGTCGACGTTTGTTCTACCTATGCCACCACTGACAATAAGGAATCTCCCAAGTGGCATCCTCATGTGAGAGACTTCAATAAACGCGACAGAGTCAAGAGGCTTTCTAAGACAAGACAGGCCATGGGAGACCACTTTCATGAATCAATTAATTATGGTGCATTGAAGGATCTTAGCGTACTAGTCCCTTAACGCATATCTATTTCCTCGTCCCCCGGGGCCTAGCTACCCTCGTCTTTCTGCCATAGGCAAACAGGTCCATGTATATTATCTCCCGTTTGTTCCGCCCTTCATCGGTGCGTGAAGCCGCTCAGCCACCTCTGATGACGGATCCTCTGTTTGTCGCTCCATTTCTCGCTCTATCTGTCGCTTGTTGCCCGCCCTACCATGCTTCGTGAGATGTCCGAGCTAATGTTCCGCCTTTGAAACATCCCTTCTTCTTGTTTTTCTTCGCTCTCACTTGCGCTTCTCTTCTTTTTGCGTGTTCTTACCCTGTCAGTATTGTTGAAATTAATATAACAAACCGTTCCGTTCAGCAAAAAGCAGTCCACCATGGCTAGGTTCGCGAGCTTCTGCTGAATATATCTGACCGTATGTCCCCTCAATCATACCATATGTTGCAGTCTGATTTTGATGCTTACTGCGTTTTCCCCCAGGCCTCTCAAGTTCCCCCTGTGCAGTGAAGGCCGCATCGGCAATTCAAGGTCCAATGGGTTGGATATCCACGTGAGGAGATGAAATGGGAATCTGCTGGAAAGTCCTATGATACGCACCTGAGGAGAAGGTGGAATATGACGCTAGTGTGGGTCTGTGATTTTTCTTGTTAAAGTTGGGCATGGCGTAAACTATGTGCTTGGATTTGTCTTGTTTGGGTTTGGGGAGTTGTTCTGCTGGAATTTGGATTTAACTCTCCCTAAGTTTGTTGATCGAATACTGGTAACAGGATTCACTTAGGAAAGAAATACTCGTCGGTCTTCTGCACCCATTTGTTGATGGGTAAAGCAGACGAAGTTATGGTCCTGGGAACCTCTTCTCCAGCTTGCAAAAGGTTAGTGATGTGACATTTTGTGTTCTTGGCCACGAAATAGCTTGATGTGAGGTTCATTATAGTTGAAGCCCAGCTCTTGATGAATTAAATGAGCCAGAAGACCTAACCAGAAGATTGTGAGATGTTTTTTGCTGTTATGGCTGATGGCTTCTTATCATCATTGCGGACACAAGTACTGGGACCAGGCCCACGGTACACAACCGGGACGTAAGGGAGACCGAGTGGTCTGTGATCTAAGAGAGACCGGGTTTGAGCCAAGGGCTACACGACTCTTTTACGAATGGACTCGGAACTTTGCACCACAGTCGGACCAGTAGGCTGTTCCGTATAGAAGACTAGGTACCAAGCGTGAGCTATTGGGAGTAAATGAACACGACAGAACACCCGCTCATCGGTCCAACATTGCCTGTACAAACGGCTTGCTCATCATAGAGACATAAAATTTCGTGTGATAATATTTATCAAATAGACGCTACAAGACTGAGTGTCATGAAAGAAGGCGACTGCTACCTAGGCGCCTGTTTGGGTATCTAATTGTGTATTACGGGGTACTCATTGTCGTGACTGCGCGCTACCCGATACTGAAACACTCCTTATTCGAGAGCTGCAAAGTCTTGAACATCCGTCCGTTGCCTTTTTCGTCTCATTTTCCCTACCCACAACTGAGCATAACTCTAGGGTTCCAGGGCGAACAAGGGAGTGCGAGGTGTCCAAGCATTCTCGAGAGAACAAGTGGACTAGCGAGGCACGAGCTTCTAACCACGCGCTTACGGATTTTTAAGAATTTTCACCTGCAATAAATCTTGATCTTTCTGGCTCTCTATTAAAGCGACTCGTCGTGATCCGTAGGTGGTGATAGTTGAGGTTCGTGGGACACGACGTTGATTGGGTGCTTTGTACAGTGTAGACCGATCAACTTTTCATTCATTGGTCAATGTCATTATGTCAGCCGCGGGCGGATCATTTCCGCTCCGTGCGGGTAAGGCAGGCAAACTGTCACATGCTCACCATCTTCACTCAAACAACAAATAGAAGAATAAAAAGATCGCGCAATCAATCAATCAATCATTCCATCACCAACCATGGCCAACAGACGCAAGAGGCCTGATGTTACTCTACCATCACGTCTTTCGCGCCTCGAATCTCCTCGCAAGGTCACTCCCCCCGAGCGCAAAGGCCTCCTCCCATCACCTCCCGCGAGTGTCCAGCGCCTTTCGCCGACGAGCCGAATGCCACGGAGCCTTCTCGACTACAAGTTCCAGGCAGAAATTGGCGAGGTTCCCTCCATCACCTCCATCTCTCTGAGCCAGCAAGAGTTCTCCAACGCCCAGGACGAGATCGAGATTGCCTTCCGCCGGTTCGACTACGAACCCAGGCGAGGTCGCATCATCTTGCGCATGCCCTCCCCGACTCATGACACCTTTGTCGGCCTCATCAACAAGGCAATCTATGCTGAACTGACCAGAGTCGCAAGCCACCACGCCAAAGCTCGCCTCTTTGCCTCGCAGATTTTGATGGCTGGTTCTTCGCGCATCTTCCTCAACGACGACAACGAGGATAGCGAGAGTAACGACCGAGATGAGGCGCTGAACAAGACCCGTCGTCAGCCGGATGCTCAATACCACCATCCCAAGGTCGCTTTCCCTGACGTCGTGGTCGAAGTGTCGTACTCGCAAGACAAGAAACAGCTATCCAAGATCGCCAAGCAGTATATTCACTCCTCCGACGGCAATATCAAAGCTATTATCTATATTAATATCGATTTTCGGGCTTAATTAACCTATTAAGGGCTAAGCTATAATTATAATAAAAAATAAATCTTAAATATAATATAATATTATAACTTAATATTAATATAATAGCCTAATTAAATTTCTATAATAATAAAAAAATTATATTTAATTAGATTATTAAAAAAATTTAATTTTTTATAAATATTTTAATTATTTTAATTTTTATATAAAAAATAAAAAAAATTATTTATTTTTTTTATTTTTTTAAGTTATAATATAATAATTATAAGATTCTTAAGAGATAAACTAATTATATAGGTTTATATTAATAAAGGAGAATATTATATATCTTAAATAAGGGTATAAATTATATTTAATAATATTATTAAAGGTATTAAGTATAATTAAGTTATATTAAGAGCTAAGGTAATTAATATATAAGAATATATAATAAATATATTTAATATACTTAAAGTATTTACTAAGGTAAAACTTATAATACTTATTTATTTACTTAGATAATAATATTATAAGTAAATATTATATAAAAATACTTATTTATTTTATAATAAGTCTTATTTATTTTTAAAATAAGCTTATTATATAGCTAGGTTTTATTATATTAAACCACTTAGTTTAATATTAGGCTATAATATTTTAAAGCTTAAAAATTTAATAATTTAATTTTTTTTTAATTAATATTAATATTTATAATTATATTTTATATTTTAAAATTATAATTTTTAAGTTTAAAAAAATAAAATTAATTTTTTAAAAAGCCTTTTTAATATATTTTTTATTATAATTATTTTATATAAAATTTAAAAAATTAAAAAATACTTAAGTCTTTAAAATATAAATTATAATATATTTAATTTAATATTATATTTCTTAATTATAAATATTTTTAATATTTTTAAATACTTAATATTAAGTAATTAAAATAAATAAATAAAATAATATATAAAGCTAAATTAATATTTTTTTATAATATTTTTTAAATTTAATAAAATATTAATTTTTATAATTATTATATATTAATAAAATTATTTAAATTATATAAGATTAATCTTATTAATTATTTAATTATTTTAAGTTATTATAAGAATTTAATTACTTAAGAAATTAATTTTTTAATATTAATTAATATTATAATATTTATTTAATATACTTAATAAGTAAATAACTTAGATAAATAAATAAATTAAAAATCTCTTAACTTATATTATTTTTATTTAATTAATTAATTTATATTTACTTTATATATTATAATTTAATTATAAAGCTAAAATATTTTTTGCTTTTTAAGCCTTTTAAAATAACTTAAATTTATATATTTAATATATTATAAAAATTTATATAATAAATTATTATATTTTAAGTTATTAATAAAAAGGTACTTAGTCTTATTATAATTTTATTTAGAAATTATATTAATTATTTAGTTTAAATATTAATATTTTTTTAAGTTTTTTTTTAATTTAAATTTAAAATAATTCTTATTAAACTTTATTAAATATAAGAAATAATAAATTTATTATTTCTTAATTATAATAACGTACTTAATAAGCAAGTATCTTATGCAAGCAAGTATCTTAAAAATCCTAACCCTTAAAATAGAAATCGCAATAAAAATACTATAAATTATTTAATTAATTAAAGCTACTTACTATACTCTTCCCTAGACGTCTTAATCACTACCTGATAGGTCCTTGTATTATGCCCGGGCTTGCCGTAAATACCATAGCGCCGAATACCCGGTCTAACCGACCTCGCTCGACTACCACTCCTCGACGATTCGGCCACTACCTGCGTATCTATATCTATTTGATTAATTGCTTGCCTTCTTTCCTCTACCGTTATTATTCCTCTTTTCTATAGTCTAGTCCTTTTTGCCCTCCGGCGCCGGCTTAATATCTTATTCGCCTCTCGAAGGTCTTTGTTCTTAGCGGTCAATAAGGCAACCCGATATATAATAGCCTTTATCCCCTTCGTAAGACTCTAAAGAGCCTCTAAAATTGACTCTGGGGAGCTACTCTAGTGCCTTCTGATTTATCTTTTAAGGTATTTAGACTAAGATCTAGCCTTAAGCATGGTCTTTGGGGTCTTTGAAGCCCAAGGGGTCGACGGTTCAGCTGCCTCCTTAACCGGCATTAGCGTCCGTAGCTACACATTAAGCTTCGAGATCACATTTTCTAGGTCCAGAGGAATAAGCCTGGCTCCTTTGAATATACCCCTGATATTTCTTTCCGTTATAGTAGCCTCGTGTGCGGCGTGGAAGGCCAGAAAGAACTCGGTCTTTGAAATATGGGTAATAGAGCATCTGATCAAACGCTCTATTTCTCGACTATAAGCCTTCTTTAGCACACTAAAGCACCTAACGTTAAGGGGCTAGAGTAGATGAGATAAATAAGGTGGCATATAAAGCCGGATAATCTTCTTCTCCTCGTAATATCTCTCGAATTCGATAGAGTAGTAGCTTTCGTGGCCATTAAGGATCAGAAGACGATAGCGATTATTTAATCGCTTAGCTATATACCAGTTAAAGTACTTTAGCCACTCGAGACCGGTCTCGTTATCGGTCTAGCCATTTTGGGTCATTGTAATAGCCTAATCGCCCGGGAGGTTACTATCTTGGTACTAATTAGCGAGGTAGTATTGGCCCGCACCGATGATAAATAGCTAGATCGCCTAGCCTTCCGTATTAATCGCCTAAATAATTATAATCCATTCCCGGTTTCTAGGCTATATTGATTTCGGCTTTAAATGCCTTTCTGCACCTGTAATAATTATTCCGCTTATAATTATACCCATAAGAAAGCTAGTCTCATCAAAGTTATAGATATTATCTAATCGGATGCTATACTTCGCGATTATATTCACTATAAGCCGAAACTAATCGCGGATAATAGTTGGATCTTTATACTTAGCTCTCTAGTAGTTATATTTACGAAAGAAACGCGTCTTAAGGTCTAGGTGCCGCTTAACGAAGTTATGAGCCCAACGCGTGCTAATTAGTAGCGCGTCGCGGTTAATAAGTAATTAATTAGCTATTTCTTTTATACTATGTAGCCATAGGGGAAATCCTCGCGAATCTAGGTTAAGAATAAAGTGAATAAGGATCTGCTCCTCTAGATTAGATAGCCGATGTGATTTCTAGATAGTATCGCATCGAGATTAGATGCCCTTTTGCCGGCGGCTAAGGGTCTTCTAGGAGACTATGTATATGCTTGCGGCGCGCCGAAGACTTAAACTCGGGTTATTTTGAAGGGTATAAAGAGTAAGAAGCATTCTAGCTTTATAATTAGACTGTGATATACTAGGTAGTTAGGAATTAATTAATTAAATAGTAATAATGAAAGTTGAGGGATTTTTGAGATACTTGCTTGCATGAGACACTTG